ATAAAAGTTTGGTTTGATTTAATTTTTAGTGGTTTCGCATTTCAATTCAAATATTAAATCAAACCATGCAATTTTAAAAATTTAAAAATCGCCAAACTGCTAATTTGTAGTTTTCTATCGGTTTTTAATTTTTTTTATTGATTCGATATTTTTTGTTTGAATTATTTTAGTTTTAAACATCCTTACCAACTAATAAATAATAATATTATGTTATTTATTTAATATTATAAGTAAAAAAAAATAAAACTAGAAGTATGTAAATATTAAAATATTTTGGTCACTTAATGTTCTTAACACCAATTCTTATCTTATTATTTTAGTAAAAATATTTCTTTAATACAACTTTAGTTATCAAATAAATAAATAATAATTTATCATTCTAAAATTCAGCTTAGTAACTTACAATTTTATAAAATACCTTCTAAATATTATAATGTATATTTGGAGAGAAAAACATCTTTTAGTAGCACTACAACAAAATTTGTTATTAATGACAATTATTTAATGACAATAATTTAATTGCCGCCATATGTAAAAATATTAATGGCTAATACATAACAGTCACTAAAAATGTATTTATATTACACTAAAGTTTACTATTAACGAAAATTATTTATTAGAAAAAATTCAAGTCCCACATCGATTAGAGATAATATAATTAAATAGTATATAAGTGAGTAATCACTATCACCTTACAGGTTTATTTTATAGGGTTGACTCTAAATTCACTATTCTAAATTGGTATCAAATCACTCATTGTTACCAAGTTCAATAGTGCTCTAAAACAATTAGAGAACAACTTTCACCTTATAAATCTCACATCTCTTAAAAGACAAGACAATTAAAAAAATAAATTAAAAAATATATAAATAAAAGACAACTCTCATCTTATAAATCCTACATCGAATAGAGATAAAAAAGTATATAAGTTATGAATTTAGAAAATGAAATTATAGGAATAAATTATTTAAAGTAAAGGAGACAATTGAAAAAATAATTTTTAATAGCCTTTAAAATGGCTACTAGAATTGTTACTAAAAAAAATAAGTTTTTCTGACAATTTAGTAGATCTTTACCGACATTTTATATAAATGTCGGTAATAATATTAGCGACACTGGATACACCATCCATTAGTTAAATGCTGGTAAAAAAAATAATGGCTATTTACATGGCCACTAAATAATAAATTAGTTGCCACAAAAAACTAATTTTGGTGTAGTGTAGTTGACAATTTTATAAGACACCTTTTATGTTATGTGTCAATTTTGTATACATGCACTATACATTAGAATATATATATATATATATATATATATATATATATATGCAAAAATACATTTATCGTCTTTTATATTATTTATTAGTGT